AATTCTGTTGTTTTCAGAACATTCTTGGCTTTATTCTCAGAAGCTTTACAATATTCTGAAGCAAATTTAATAAAATTTTAATCCAAAAAGTGCAGAATTTAATGTAAAACAATGTCATTTCAGTATGTTTAGAACAAAGAAATGAAACTTAGGATTATGAAAAAAATTTGAGTGTTATGGGAGGGTCATCAATTAAGAAATTAAGATTTGAGAGGAGCACATAAATTTTATATCTAAATATGAAGATTGTGAGCTGTAGCTAAACCAAGGTGGGGCCTAAATAAGCAAGTGAAGGAAAAAAAAAAACAGATTTGAATGTGACAAGTGCACTTTTATAGCTTTATCCACAATAGTACAATAGTGAATTTGTACGTTCTAATTTGAGATTTCTAATATCCTGTTCAATCATTTTAATTCTAGTTATACCATTCAATTTAATAATACCAATTCTAGTTACTTTACTGTTTGTTAGTAGAAAAAGGTGCAGTAGATAGATTAGATTAGGGTATTTACATAATATAATTTGTGAGATATCTGTCTATTGTAAAAAATTATGATACAAATTAATCTCCAAGCTGATTATTTCTGTGTTTCTAAATTATTAATTAGATTTTTTTTTTCATGTTAATTTACTATCTACTACTATAATAATTGATGATTGTTTAATCATTGATTTCTGTAATAAATAATACACCTTTAATTTTCCAGTATTTGTTCTATGTTTTAAACTAGTACTTTCATTCCTTTTAAAAGATCATCTTCAGGTTACCTTTTCAAATTAATAAGTTATATAGTTGTCTGAAAGAAGATCTGGTGGAAGCTTGATTATCCAAACCTGATGGGACTAGAATGCTTTCAGATAAACAAATTTTGGATAATTCAGAGACTTGTTTATTTTTCTGTTTTGAGTATATTAAGCACTGTGCATTTAAAGTTTTATGAGTAATAAATAGTGTAATGCAATTACTGTATTTGAAGGTAAATTAATTTACTCAATATCTAACATAATGCTACATACATATTATAGTTTTGCAGTGCTACATTCAACAGATGTAGTGATTTCCAGCTACATTGAGAGTTTGCTCTTTGTTGTTGTTATACTCTGTGGTATGTACAATGTTACTTTTTTAAAAATTTTTTCGAGTAATCAAGTTTTCACTATATATGTTAAATTTGTATAATTTATACCTCATAATCTCTTTAAAATGATTTAAAATACTGTTGTAAAGTAATTTGTAAAAGTTCTTAATATTTGAAATTGTATGTAATCTACTAAACTGCCGAATGATCGCCTAAATATCGGGCTATTATATGGCTAATTAAATTAATTTCTAATCATTTAATTAGCCATATAATATCTCGATATTTAGGCGATTGTTCAGCAGTTTAGTAGATATACTATTCGGGCTTTGAATGTTGTTATTTGTATGTAATCCCTAGAGTGGCAACATGGTGAGAAAAAGCAGTATAAAGGTGTGTCACGTCTCCCCTTTTTGTTCTTGCATATGTCCACCGGCATCTTTTCTATACATGTAAATTAACACATTTTGTATGGATATTAAATTATGTTGTATGTGTGTATACAAAAAGTGCAAGTTATTTCTTCTCCTCGATACTAGTTTGAAATATAGAAAAAGTGCTAGAAAATTAAAATTGTGTTACTTACTGTAAATATACCAGTTTTATTAGATTGTTGATAATTGCTGTAAGTAATTTAACAAAAATTCAGAAGTTCTTGATTTTTTATTTGCTTAATAATAATAATAAGTTTGTTTGTATTATGTCTATATTCACATAAACACAATCTTTCTATTGATGTGACAGTTGAAATTTTATGAATTTTAATAAAATAAGATACTAAATTTATTTTAGATTATTGAATTTTTGAATTTGCAAAAGTGATTATTCCAAAACTAATATAATCCATTAAAACATCTTTTAATATCTTTAGTAAATCACGATTAAAGTAAATATTTCATTTGTTTAAATTTTGTTTTTGTTTTTCAGATTTCAATATTATGATTAGTCTAATAGTTTTAAATTATTACATTTAAATTGCAATAAATTAGTTAACTATGTCAAAGTGTGACTAAAGACAAAGTATCTTTCAATAAAAATGCACTTAAGTATTATATTAACGTATTATTCTCCATGACAACCTTATATAATCTTTTATACTTATATAGATGCTGTCTTATAAGTTACAATTATCATATATATATATATATGGGTATTTAAAATAA